CCCCTGCACCGTCCCCCCTGCACCGTCACCCTTGCACTGTCACCCCGTGCACTGTCCCCCCTGCACTGTCCCCTGTGCACTGTCACCCTGTGCACTGTCCCCTGTGCACTGTCCCCCTGTGCACTGTCCCCCCTGCACTGTCCCCTGTGCACTGTCACCCTGTGCACTGTCCCCCTGCACCGTCACCCTCTGCAGTCCCCCCTGCACTGTTCCCCTGTGCAGTGTCCCCCCTGCACTGTCCCCCCTGCACCATCCCCCCTGCACCGTCACCCCTGCACCGTCACCCTGTGCACTGTCACATCTCCACATCATCACCCCGTGCACCTTCACCATCCATCACATGGTCACCCGGTGTGCCTTGTCACCCCACACACTGTCACCAGGCTCCCTGTCACCCCCCCCACACACTGTCACCTGCCATAGTCACCACAGAGACCTGCCCTCTGCAGCCACAGGGTGACTGACACCCACCAGGCCCGCCGTGTCTGTCTCATCTCCTGGCTTCAGCTGGGAGGTGACAATGGGGTAAAACCACACGATGCTACAGAAGATCCCATCTGTGCAAATCAAATGACTTCCCGAAACTTTATCCAAACGGCAAATACATTTTTTTAAAAATATCAAATACATTTAAAATGTGTTTGTTGAGTTCACTGAACACAGCTGAGAACCTTTTAGGTGAGTCACTTGGCAAATGACACAACTATTTGGGTCACGTGGCATGTAATTCTGTACACAGGAGCTGGTGTGAAGTGTCTTTATAGATTCTGTACAATCTCCACAGTTTTTAAAGAAAGATCCAAACAACCAATTTTTGCCACTTTTACATCATCCATTTCACTTAAAGCAAGTAAATAGCACTCACTCCTGCCCCCCCACTCGTGTACACCACTCACTCCTGCCCCACCCCCGTGTACACCACTCACTCCTGCCCCCCCCACCCGTATGCACCACTCACTCCTGCCCCCCCCCCCGTGTACACCACTCACTCCCTGCCCCCCCACCCGTGGACAACACTCGCTCGGACCCCCCCCAATTGTCTACTCTTGACGGGGCTGCGGGAGGTCGAGGTGAACGTAACACCTGTGCACCTGGGCCCAGGACTGCCCCCCGCCCCCCCCCCAGGGACCCTCCTTCCAGGGCTGCTGTCCAGGTGCTGCCTGTGCTCAGACAGGTGTTGGTCTTGGGGGAGGGGGCCATGCG